GTTGTAAGGTTGGGAGAGGTAGGTCCTCCCTATCCTAGCCTCCCAATTTCCCTCCTCCTCCCTTTCCAACTCCCGCAGTTAAACTCACGTGCACACTATGAGCCGCGAGATGTTGGATCTCGCGGCCATAGGTATTCGTTTCAAAACGAAGTGGGAGCCATTGTGCTCCCATACAGTCTCAAAGACTGTTATTTCCTATGAGGCAACAACCTCGTTTTGCTTTTGTTTTTTATTTATTTATTTACTTATTTATTTTTTTACTCGTTTCAACCTCCCCCCTCGTTTTTTTCCTTGCTGCCTGTACCCCAACGACCATGAAATGAGGGGGGGAACAAACAGGAAAAAAAAAAAAAAAACGAAAAGCAGCAACCACTTTACCTGTACGTCCTCTCCCTCGACTGTGGAAACACAGACCTGAGTTTGAAACCAAGCCGACTGGGTGGGGCTAGTGTTTATTTTCATGTTCTGACTAACGGTTCATTCTGATTTTACTCAACCTATCGTTGGGGGTAGCGTGGGGCTATCTTGCAGGTAAGTTGACAACTCCTCTTTCTCTCTCTCTCTATCACACACACACACACACTCACACACACATACAAGTAGTTAGTGCATTCATCCGCATTATAGGGGTAGATTCAGTCGATTTTGCTCATTCTATCGATGAAAGTATTATGAGGTCATTCGCAAAGTTAGGAGCTTCGCCCGTTCGTTCTCAATGAGTGGCCGTTTTTCAGTAGCTCGTTAAAACGAGAACGAAAAAAGAAAATTCTAAAAAAGAAGAAAATTTAAAGAAAATCATCTACCTGAAATAAAAATTTTAAGCCAATGAATCTAAAAAGAAAATTTAAAAACAGGGGGAAAATCATCTTTCCTGAAATAAAAATGGTTGTCCATTTTCAACGGGCGCCTGCTGGACTATTTGGGGACTCTGGGTCCCTTGCCACTCCTCTGGGCGCCATGTGGCGCTGTTCGTTTTTTTTTTTTTTTTTTAGGTGATGATGCCATTGGCATAAGCCAACGGCCACAAGAGTCAGCATTTCACTTTGTTGATGCTTTCTCTCCCTACCTAAGTGCAGACTCGAGTTCGATTCCCACAGAGGAATCGAAAATCAAAATTTGGATTACTTCTCGGTTTATACGTATCATCCTTGCGCAGGGGCCATGCTATATTCGTGCGGCTTTTTTTCGGCCACGAGATCTAAGGATTTTACGGTCGAAATTGACGGCGCCTCCATTCCACCCCAATGCGCAGCTCCTTTAGAGCTAGCCGAAGTAGGGCTTCGTCGGGTTCGATCCTGGTATCCGCCAGGTGAGAATCTGGGATGTTATTCTACTGGGCTAGCTCCTATTTCACACTAGATAGGAGCAGCCGTTCAATATGAAGGGCTATGCCTAGCGGGAACATCCAACGCACAGACAGCAGACCTCTGCCTGCCCTTGCCTATTTTTCGACCCCTTGAGGCAACCCGCGCCTATTCCCGTAGGGCAGGACACATGCCCCCCTGACATACCGATGTCAATTCAAAATCCCGGCAGGGCAACCTTTTAAAATATTAGGTGTGAATCTAGACTTTTGTGTCGTGAGATAATGCGGTCATCCTTTATTGCCCCGTTAAACCCTGAATTGCGCGACTGTCATTATTTTAGGTAGAACAGGTCTAATCTCAGCATTTCAACGTCCATTCCCCTCTACGGCCCTGCTAGAAATTGTCGACTACCGTCATTACACAAGCATCCCAACTTAGGTTCATAAAATTTATAGTCTCTCGGTCATAGGCTAGTCTGAATAAACTTCTGGCAGATGTCAGTCTCATCAAGTCCTTCAATTCAACTAAAAAGTCGGATAGCGTCCGATATTCAAAAAACTGAGCAGATACCCTTGTAAGGGTTTCTGCTCCCACACCGGTTATCAACAGTATAAAAAAAAAAAAAAAACATTTTCACATGTTCAGGTTATCATGGGAGCAAGTCAAGGTCAAATCCCTGTATTGGACATGAATCCAGCGATGGAGGCCACGACCTCATATTTAAGGAACTTGCCGCCTCACCCGTTCACCTTGCCTTGGTTTGGTGCAGCGCTATCTAATTATCATTTCGACATAAACCCATCCATGGGGAACCTGCACGCATTTAACGTATGGGTCCCGACGTGAATCCCTCAAGGTTATGCCGGAGGAGACCTCATGGCAAAGCAATCGGGCCAGTCACCGTGGGGTGCTTCGATTTCGCCTCCTGTAGGTAGCCGCCACGAGGCGAATCACAGGGTAAGCAACGTAGGATAAGTGAAGGAGGTGTTGGCATCCGGGCCGATCTCCAAAATGAAGATTCTGGCAGCTCCAATGGATCTCTAACCCGGTCATCGGTGGCGGGTAAGAGTAAACCATCTTACTCCCGTATGAAAGACTTATTCAAAGGGGGGTCGGTATTGGAATCAAGGTTCCTACTTGTTATATGTGCTGTTGTGAAAGATTCTCTTTGGATTGTATTTTGGATTGGATTAAATGGATTACTCCTGTTCGTTAACTCTGTATGTCCAGAATCTGCTATACCTCACGCAACAGAAACAACCGCTCGAATGTTGTTTCATGGCAAATTTGCCCTCCAGATTATTTAAACATCGATGCCTAGGTTTCTTGTGGACATTGTACGACATTGTTCAATGCTCATTTCCTACTAGGGCAACTAGAACAATTGGACCAAGAAGGTCTCCGACTGGTTTCGTTGACCTAGTTGATGGAAGGAAAGAAACTTGACTTACGTCGGATCAAGGTTTCTTCTACTATCACAATGGATCTTTTTTCGAATTTAAACAAGAAACTTGGTAAAGATAAGAAGTTGGGGTCCCCTTTTTTTATTGGTATAGATAATAAGTTGGACTCCCCCTTTTTTAGACGTGTCTTGACATAAGTTTGGCCATTGCCATCTGCTTCCGATGCTCTCGGACCCAATCTGCTGGAGTTGTTGCCCTTATTGGGCAAGCTTAGAATAACTACATAGAATGTTTATGGGCTAGGGGACTCATTTGGGAGGAATAAGAAAGGTCGCCTTAAGAGTTGGGTGCACGAACTTGTAATCGATATTTTATGCATACAGGAAAGCAAACTGTCGGAAACCAAAGTTGTTGAGTTGGGCTTATGGTGGGACGACCCACAAATTTGGTCACCGACCAGAGGCTCAAGGGGAGGGGTGACAATTTTGATTCATAGGAATTTGAATGCGGAGATTATTGATTGCTACGTTGATTCATGGGGAAGATGGGCTTGGGTCAAACTTTGGATTGAGGGTCAGGAATGGGTTATAACTTCGATCTACTCCCATACATACATGGCTGAACGATCGTTTTTTTTTTAAGATCTTTCTCTATTTGTATCAGATTGCGACTACCTTGTAATGGTCGGCGATTGAAACATTGTGTTAGACAAACAAGTGGGAGTACATGACGGCTGAGATGTAATTGCGCTGACCAACTTAATGTTCGATCTTGATTTGATTGAACCCTATCCTCTCCTCGATCTGGGTAAACCAAGTTATACCTGGTTTTCGAATGAGAGAGAAGGCGTAGGTAACTATCTGTAGGAGACTGGAATTTTTCTTACTCTCGCCTTCGGTTTGGCACGCCACCATGCAAATTGATGAAGTATTAAATCCCATCGCATATCATGAGCCCGTTGTCGCTGCCTTTAATTCTCAAAAGTTTGTAAAATGGTCTCAATATTTTAGGGTAAATATCCAGATCATGCAAAACCCTAGAATTGAGGATTGGATGAAGTGATTATGGATTGATTGGGAACGCAATGCAGATTCTTTTGGGTCCAAGGATGCATGGTGGGATATAGGTGTTCAGATCTTTTCTAAACACCTTAGCATTTTTTTTTTATCCTGGCCGCCAAGCGAAATGACAAAGAGCAAAGTTTAATCCGCAAAATAGAATCTGCAGAGTCTTAGATGAACCTTCACCCAATCTCCATTTTGGTTTGGAGCTCCATTTGAAGGAAATATTTTGTTGAGTGGGATGCATATGAGCAGGAGCAGTCAGAGATCTAGACCGAACGTTTGAAGGTAAAGGGCATTGCAGTCTATGATTGCATGAACCGTGAGACTTTCCAACAACTTTCACCAAAATATCTCACTGATTCAATATGTGAATTAACACATCCCTTCGACCATGAGTTACCAATTGCTCGGGAATAATCTCAATTGTGCACCTATGATGATATGTGCTACCAAGACATCATCATCTCTAGGAGATCGAACGAAAACATCATCATAGATATTTCGGAAGGTTTCAGTCATTGAGACCATTTTACAGCGAGAATCTCCCCTCAGGGAAAATTGGACATAGATTGGCCAGTTACCGCAGAGGAGGTATGGAAAACCTTGAGCTCCATAGCAAAGGGTACGGCCCCAGGAGACGACGGTTTACTAGTGGAAGTATATTCACTCATTTGGGATACCATCAAAGAACCGTTAGTTGAGATCTATAATTAAGTGTTGTTGGGGGGTAATCTATCAGTGGGTATGAGGAATGGAATTATTTTTCTGCTGTACAAAAAGGTCATAGATCGAAGATTAGGAATTGGTGTCCTATCTTCATTTTCGATGTATCACACGAGTTGTTGGCTAAGATCTTAGCTAGGCGGTTGGGTAAATATCTGTCGTCTCTAGTTTGCAATGACCAAGCGACCTTTGTACAAGGCCAATCTATTTTTGATAATGTCGCCATTGTCATTGAGACCCTCGAAGTGATTGAAAATTGGTTGGCCAACGTCTCAGTTTTAATGCTTGATTTGGAAAAGTCATACGACCGAGTTAATTGGACATATGTGTTAACTATACCGAGGCATGTGAGGTTCGGTGAAAACTTGTGCAACTGGGTCGTGACACTGTACTCACTGTCGACAACTTTTGTGATGGTAAACGACAACATCTCATAAACGCTCCCTCTGACTAAATCATGACGACATGGGTGTCTCATGATCCCTTTCCTTTTTGTTATTCAGATGGAGAACCTCCTTTGCATTGTAAGATTCAACCAGTGGATCGTTGGTATCAAGGTCGGTCTTTCCCAGGGCAAAGTCAAAGCACTGGCGGACGACCTTTTTGCTGTCTTTGAAATTCAACACCCTCGGTGAATGCCTTGAAAGCCTGGCTAGACGATTACTCTGACCTCTCTGAGGCATCAGTGAGTTGGGCGAAATTTGTATTTTTTCTTCATAGCATGCATGAGCTAATCTCAAATTGGGGAATGAAAAGGATTGTAGCAGAAAATTCGGAACACTTCCTACGCGTCCAATTGTTACTCTCATGCACCGTGGATAAGGAGGGTATTCTGTTGCAACGATGATCTTTGCAATGGGCAGCAACATATGGAAAAGCTACACACCTTTCTTTGTATGGAAGGGTATTAGTAATCAATAGTAATCTATTGTCCCTTCTTTGGTTCGTAGCGGCGGTCATACCACTGGGCAAACACCTTTGTTCCTTGAGTATGAGGAGGGCAACGTGGTTTATATAAAAGTCATATGCATCAGATGATGAAGGTTTTCTGTCGAAAGTGGTTTGGGATCTCCTCTGCTTTTCAAAAGAGGAAGGTGGTCTTGGCCTTATTTATCCACGAAGGAAAAGCACTGCAATGTTTGTTCGGTGGGTGATTAGGGCTATGCGTATACATGAAGAAGCCTGAATTGCCTTAGCATAAAAGATTTTGGCCACCGAGTGGAACTTAGCTTGGCCTCCTGACGTAAGGACTGGTTTTCTACTCAACTCCTTTCAAAATCGTCAGATTAAGTCTGAATTTTGAAGAGCAGTTATGTTCACTTGGAAACAGTTAAACCGAATGTTTGGCGTCAACCATCCACGAGGGCTGATATTATGATGCAACCACTATTTAAAAATCCTCATAGTAGGAAGTCTGACGGTAATTGGTTCCCTGCGGGCTTCTCGCGCAATGGCTTTGGGAAGAGTTGGATAGAGAGGGTTATCTTAAGGATTGAGGATATTTGGAACCACTTGGAGGTCCATTGAATTTCTATAAGAGCTTTGAGAGTATTTCTCTCTTCCAGCGGACACCTCCCTCACCTTTCCGAAATTAATCGGTACAGAACAATCCAGGAAAATGAATTTTCAATGTTGGGAAGGATCCAGGTCAGCAAAGCCTTTTCAATTGGTTCAGATGGATGATTCATTGCACCCCCCTTGCTAGCTAGCCTAGCTCAGGTACGGGCTTGGGAAGTTTGCGACAAGGAAGGAAACTGATCATGCAAAGTCTTCGCATACGGTGTCGCTGTAAATAACTGAAACTAGACCCGAAATTGTGGGGATGGAGATGAGAAGGTTCAGGTGGTGAGGATCTACCTCTCATCTGTTATACTGTGCCACATGGATATGTATCTCATACTTCTGCCCGTTTCGCAATAGAGGTAGTTGTTTCCAAATGGAGCCAAGTCCTGGACCGTGAAAGACAAAGTGTGAAGAAAGTTATTTCTAAATGTTGGCAACAATTGTCGCTGACACCAAGTTTCAGATTGGCTACTCTCTTTGTTAGCCACATCGTCAGCAGTAAACTTTGTTTAGAGAGGGCTCAAGATTGAGTTGACTTATAAACGGTGTAGCTAGGTCTTTGAGTCAATGACAAACATGTGGTTTGATTGTCCATCCTCTGGCTGCATTTGGAAGTGGTGGTGTATATTTTGGGATGATATCACTGGTCAAACCCTAATCTGGGACAGGGAATGGGTTATCTTAGATAACTTGGAACCCAAGAAGGGTTGGGGATATGTTGCTCAGACAGCTAGGGTTGTGGGTTGTGAGATAGTTTGGAAAGAAAGGAACCTGCAAGCATTTGAAGGATCTGGCAAAATGGTTTTGGGCTTAGTAGGAGTTGAGTACAAACCTGGTTGCTCGGCTCCCTTTTCGAATGAGGAAGGCAGCGGGATTGGGGGAAGGAGAGAGCGGAATCAAACTCGACCTGTCATATTAGGTAGTTCAAAAAAAGTAGTTAGGTTGGTTTAAACCACTAGTACCTCCGAGGCTCCGAGCTTGTTTTTGTCGAGCCTGATTTTCACTGCGCTCCAAGTTTGTCGAGCCTGGGTCCCACTCCATTTCTTTATGGCACTCTCACGGGAAGAACAAAAAAAAAATAAAAATAAAAAAAATTGCAGCCGTGAAACTCACAACAGCAGAAAACGAAACAAAACTCTGGTTGTGATTGCAGCTATGTACATGCTTGGAAGTGGTAGTGTGAGTGTGCCCTCAGTGAGGGCATCTCAACCCCATGGCCAGGTTGTCAGATTCTAAAAATTGGAAAAAAAAAAAAAAAAAAAAAAAAAANNNAAACACAAATTCGACTGTGAAAATGGCAAGTTACATTCCCCTAAGTGCCAGTGTGATCAGGTTTGCAATCCTCTAAGGAAACACAGCTCGAGCAAATCACAGATTCAGATTGTTAGATGCCAGAAAAAAAAAACAAGGAAAAAAAAACGGAAACACAAATTCGGCCTTGAAAATGGTTGGATTCATCAGGGTTACAATCCTCTGAGGAAACACAGCTAGAGTAGTTCACGGATTCCGCCCTGCCTCGTTGGCAAGGGACTCATAACAAACTAACGAGGAAAAAAAAAAAAAAAACAGCAAGTTTTTAAGAATGCGACCATCTTTGTTGTAAAATGCATTCAAGACTGTGAGCACGGCCTCCTAGACTACTCTGCCCGACATCATTGCAATAAAAAAAAAAAAAATTCCCCTTTTCCTCTCGTGCACGGGCAAAAAAAAACTACGATTTTTGGGACCTTGCCGACCTTGCTGGGATCCCGGTTTCTTAGGGGACAGACCAGTTCATCGTATTTTCCCAACACTGGCGGAGGTGCCAGTGGTTTAATGCTAGGCTAGATTTGAATTCGAATACTCTATTTCCAGGTTGTGAGTTTTTTGGGGAATGTGGCTATATTTTGTTTGGTGGCATTGTTGGTCTATGGCATTTTTTTTTACAGGGGCTGGGATTTCATATCAGTTGCCTAGAGTTGGCACACTCTGTACCTAGATATTTATCGACCTCGAGGCTGTTGTCTCTTCCGTTAGCAAGGAGATTAGTTATGAACTGTGCTCGTAAGCTAAACTGGCTGATGTTGCCAGGATAACTCTGGGTTAAATGTGAGGTCCCCGACCTTTATTTAACCTACTATAATGAATTTTGTTCGGAAAAAGTAACTAAAGGCAACCCTAACGGGCTGCAAACTTTGAGGGGTATAGTGCGAATTTTATCTTTTGTATTCGGTGGGGAAAAAAAACAAAAACAAAAGGTTTGTGTGACGGGGGGGGGGGGGGGGGGGGGGAGGAGGGGGAGCGAAAAACTCCATTAAAAAATTGGACCTCGAGGCAATTCCTCACAAACAACCTGGAACGACATAGTCCAAACTGAGACCTTGCCCAGAGACACAGAGGTGGGGAACAAGCCCCAACAATACAACGATCGAAGGCCGGACCAATACCACAAAGGTTCAGTCCTAACCCGATGTTACCCATTCCCGAATGCGAAGCTACCCTCCATCCCCCAACTTATCAATTCCCCTAACTAACATTCCACTATTTTACTACAGTTATCTTTAACGATCTATGTGCGATTTTTCAGGCCTGGTGGAACTTTTACGTGGACATTCAGGGTAGCGGTCTCTTATTGGTCACTTCTGCCTGTAGACTTCATCCTAAAGCCCACACCTAAGTTGGGTAATAGTCCCAGTACATTGTTCTCCGGGTGGTTCGCTGAGGAATTTTTGGCCTCTCCCTCTGTTGCGACCGGTTTGACTTCATCCCAAGCCCCACATCTAAAAGGTTGATCCGACTAGTTGTAGTGAGGTAGCTTTTGGTGTTTTGCGGGGATCCCACATGGTTCCGCAATTGACGATAGAAAAAAAAAAGTTGACTGTTTCTTCTTTTTGCCCCTTGTGTGTCTATATCACCACGTGTGCAGCCGCTTCCACTGACCGGTTCTGCAACCAGTACCCCTCACCCTGAAAGTCAATCGTTTTGATTTTTTTTTGTTTATTTTTCCTGGCAGCCTGCTATTGGTTCTTGGCGTTGTGGTGCAGCCCGTTTTGTGGAAAAAGTCCCCCAAATAGCGGGCCTGTGGGTTCGAAATTTGCTTTTGCATCTCGTTCGCAACATGCCCCTGTAACAAGGGACTTTTTCTTTTTTTTTTACAAGTGCTCTGTCGGATCAGGTACTAAGGGTCGGACTCCTCTATCGTGCGCACAACATTCTTACGATGATTTTTTAGTCTCCACATTCTTCCGCGGTAAGGGTTTGATCCCACCACTACACTACAACCTAATTACAATGTAGTTTTGATATCCTACCACTTTCCGACGTCGTCGTGGTCGCCGAAATATTTTGCCTTACTTTAGTTTGGGTGTGGTGTGGCAGCACGTCCGCTAAGGGGGCAAACGTAATTACTACAACTTTTTTGCAGACCGTGAGGGCTTCAGAGCGGTGAAAAAGAGAGCAATGTTTTATTTTATTTTTTCTCGTCTATCCGTTTGCAACATTAGGAATGTCTGTGGACCACAATGTTGTGTGGCATTTCGGTTGGCGGAGTTCGTGAGGCCTATTCTGTTGTAGAGTCGCGGTCGATCAGCGATGAGGAAATGCAACGGTCCGCCTCTGTAACAACCCATAAAGAACCACCACGAGTCCAGGAAAACCACCGAAGAAGTCGCCGTTGTGGGATCCATTTTTTTTTTGTGCCCCGATACAGCCGCTAACATCTTCGTAGTGCTTTTTCACGTCTACATTCGTAGTGTATTGGTGGGATCAGGCACTAAGTGGGCAAAGTTTTGAGAAACTACTTGACAAATGTTTTCACTCAGTTCTGCACACCAGTTTTCGTGTGCAATGACCATCCTGAGGGGGTAGGGGGGGGGCATCTGTTCCCGTTTGACCATTTCGTGCGACAAGGAGACCCAGGTATTGGATGGGGGCTTGTGAATAGGGAAAGCTTTCCCTGTCGGGTAACCTGGCGAGACAAACCTGCCAGAAAATTTTGTTGCGGTGGGGGCTATTT